AGCCTCCTCGGTTCCCTTCTCTGTAAGTGGTCATCATAGTTGCAGAGGTTTCTGTGAGGGCTTTAGGCACGATGTACGTAAAGGGTATAGAACAGGCCAGGCTTCTAGTTAGGACTCTGTTAGCTATTGTTACAACCTCACATTCTTTTCAAATGCTGAAAATACCCAGCAGTCTGGTTGTGCCTCCTCCCCCTTGGTGGGCATTCACACTCTCCACTTTCCCCACTATAAACAATGTTGCAGGAAACTTCCTCATACACTATCTTGTGTGTAATGGGCTTTTTATTTCTATAGGTTGGTGTCCCGGAAGTGGCATTATTGTGTCAAAGGGTGATTTTCGTAAATACAGCACAGTTACTTTCTGTGGTGTGGTGGGAAATACATAGTAGGTCTTTGTCCCCTGCTCTGGCACACAGCGCCTAAAACCCTTGGAATCTCCAGAGTGATAAGAATGACTAGTATTCACTGCATACAGAAGAAATTGTTGAACGCTAATGGAGATGACTGAGAGCTTGGGGGCCCCTAGAGAGTGTGAAGGATGGGGGCTTAGAATTCTCAGCCCTACCCGGAAACTCAGAGAGGGGAGGAGGGCTAGTGACTGAGTTAATCACCAGTAGCCAATGACTTAATCATGACTGCATAATGAAACTTCCTTAAAAGCCTCTAAACCGTGGGGCACAGTCGGTTAAGCATCTGTCTTTGGCTCAGGTCATGATCTCAGGGTCCTGGGATTGAGCCCCTGCATCAGCGTCCCTGCTGAGTGGACAGTCTGCTTCCCTCTGCTGCCCCCGCCCTGCCATGAGCATGCGTGCATGCTCTCTAATAAACAAAATCTTAAAAAAAAAAAAAAAGAACTGAAACCCTAAACTGTGGAGCTTTAGTTGGTGAATGAAGTGAGGTGCGAGGAGGGTGGTGTGCCCAGAGAAGGCATGGCAGCTCCCCGCTCCTCCCCATACCTTGCCCTATGTATTTAGCTGTTGCTGAGTTGTAGCCTTTATAACAGACAATTAATAGTAAATAAATCATATTCCTGAGTTCTTGGGGCTATTGGAGAAATTATGAAACCTGAAGAAGGAGTTTAGGGTACCCCCTGATTTATATAGCTCATTGGTCAGAAGTGTGAGAGGCCTGGGACTTGGGACTGAAGTGAGGAAGGCATGCTTATGGGACTGAGCCCTTAACCTGTGGGTCTGCCCTAACTCTACTAATAAGTGTCAGAACGGAATCAAATTGTTGGTGTCTGGAGAATCAGCGAATTGGTTTTTGGTTTTTGGAAAACACCCTAGACTTTCCAAAAAGAGTATCACCACTTATATTGGGAGGGCCTGTTATAGATATTGAAATAAACTACAGGGAAAAGTGAATACTTTTTAACTCTTTATTAAAGTGAGTTTTTGAATCTATACAAATAAGGTAAAAAAAAAAAAACCCCTGTGTACCCGTTACACTGCCCCAAATCCCAGAGCATGCTCAGTGCTCCGTCCATACCCCTACTGTCACTTCCACCTCCTATGTTACATTGAAAATCCTAGACATCCTACCATTTTCTTGTATGCATGTTTCTTAGGTCTCTCCAAATGATAGGTTTTTTAGACTGTGGTAAAAACAGGGGTGCCTGGATGGCTCAGTCAGTTAAGCATCTGCCTTCGGTTCAGGTCATGATCTCAGGGTCCTGGGACTGAGGCCCACATCGGGCTCTCTGCTCAACAGCGAGTCACCTTCTCCTTTTCCCTCTGTAATGTCTCTCAAATAAATAAATAAAATCTTAAAAAAAAAAAAAAGTTAAAAATAAGTTCACAGTTTGTTTGTTTGTTTGTTTTAATAGGCTCCATATTCAAAGTGGGGCTTGAACTCAAAACCTGAGATTAAGAGTTGTGTGCCCTAACGACTCAGCCATCAAGTTCCCCCAACTTCCACAGATTTTTAAGTGCCTCCTATAGTATTGTTAACTACCGGTACAGTGTTGTATGACAGATCTCTAGAGCCTATTCATGTGTAACTGAAACTTTCTACTCCTCATTTCTCCTTCCCCTTAGCAGCCACCATTCTACTCTCTGCTTCCCTGAGTGTGGCTGTTGTAGCTGCCTTACATAAATACAATCATGCGGTATTTGTTCTTCTGCTACTGGTTTATTTCATTCAACGTGATCTCCTGGATCATCTGTGTTGTAGCATATGACAAGATTTCCTTCTTTTTTTTTGAGACTTTTAAAATATATTCCACTGTATATATATAAATACCACATTTTCTCTATCCATTCATCCATTGATGGGTGTTTAGGTGGTTTTCACACTTTGGGTAATGTGAATAATGAATGCTTCAGTGGACATGGGAGTGCAGGTGTCTCTTCAAAATCCTGATTTCAGTTCTTTGGATAAATACCCACAAATAGGATTGCTGCGTGTTATGGTAGTTCTATAAACGATAGGCTCTTACCACTATAATCATACCAAGGAAAAATAAAAAGCCCTAAACAAAACATGTATTACTATTACATTTCTTTTTTTTTTTTTTTTTTAAGATTTTATTTATTTATTTGTCAGAGACAGAGGGAGAGAGAGTGAGCGAGCACAGGCAGACAGAGAGGCAGGCAGAGGCAGAGGGAGAAGCAGGCTCCCCGCCGAGCAAGGAGCCTGATGTGGGACTCGATCCCAAGCCGAAGGCAGCCGCTTAACCAACTGAGCCACCCAGGCGTCCCTATTACATTTCTTTTTAATGCTAAATAGTACTCCATTGTATGGATACACCACATTTTATTTATGTATTCATCAGTTAGTGGTCATTTGGCTACTAGGTTTAATACTGCTGTGAATATTCATGACAAGTTTGGTGTGAACCTGTTTTCATTCCTCTTGGATATATACCTAGGAGTGGAATTGCTGGATCATTTGTTAAGTCTGTTCTTAGGCTTTGAGGTACTGCCAGACAGTTTCCAGGTGGCTGTACCATTTTCTATTCCCATCAGCAATGTGTGGGGGTGCCAGTTTCTCCACATACTTGTGTATTTTTTCTTGTTAGGCTGCCTTCTGTGCTCATACCTCAGAAACCATTTACCTAATCAAGTGGGTTCTAAGAGTTTTATGTTTTTAGCTCTTACATTTAGGCCTCTGATACATTTTGAATTAATTTTTGTGTGTGGTGTGAGATAGGGGCCAGACTTCATTCTTTTCTTTGAGGATGTCCACTTGTCCCAGCCTTATTTATCAAAAATACGATTCATTGAATTGTCTCATCACCCTTCAAAGCCATTTGACCCTAACTGTAAAGGTTTTATCTGGACTTCGAATTCTGTTGATCTGTATGTCTCTTCTTACCCGCAGTCTTGGTTACTGTAGTTTTGGGTACTCAGTTTTGAAGTTTGTTTTCCAATTTTTATATGAAATTGGTTTAGGAGCAGGATTCGTCAGCATACTTTTTCTAGCTTCATAGCCGTAGAGCTCCCTCTTCTGTTGCACTCGTGACATGTTAAAAAATATGGTCTTGTGATTTCTGAGATCTGGTTCCACTGCTCCCTTCTGCTTTTTGGGGACTGTCTCTTTCTTTTACTCTTGTGCCCATGTGTGACTCAACTTGAAGTCCCCTCCCAGCACTTTATAATACAAAGATATAAAAAGAAGAAAACTGGTCCCTGGTCCTGTTGTCCATATAACCGCTTTTGACAGTTTTTAGAAACTGATAGTGTACAAAAATTAAATAAAAAGAAAAAGAAACCATGTACGTATTTGGGCTCCTTGAGTAGTTGAGTCAAGTCAAAATATTCTTCCATCCTTATCCATTATGGTTTCAGGAAATTCCTTTCAGGAAAAAATAGGTATACCTTTACTAGAATATATGTAATTATTCTTTTTTTTTTTTTTAAGATTTTATTTATTTATTTGACAGACAGGGATCACAAGTAGGCAGAGAGGCAGGCAGAGAGAGAGGGAGGGGGAAGAAGGCTCCCCGCCGAGCAGAGAGCCCGATGTGGGGCTCGATCCCAGGACCCTGAGATCATGACCTGAGCCGAAGGCAGAGGCTTTAACCCACTGAGCCACCCAGGCGCCCCTCTTTCTTTTTTTTTTTTTTTTTAAGATTTTATTTATTTATTTGACAGAGAGACAGCGAGAGAGGGACCACAAGCAGGGGGAGGGGGAGAGGGAGAAGCAGGCCTCCCATGGAGCAGGGAGTCCCATGTGGGCTCATGACCTGAGTGGAAGGCAGATGCTTAACGTCTGAGCCACCCAGGCACCCCTATGTAATTATTCTTAAAAATACATATTTATGCAAATTGTTTTTGAATTTACTTAATATATATAAAGAATTTTAAAATTGGGAATGTATGTCAGCTGAAGAGTATTACTACCACTTTTGAAATACTTTTTTTTTTTTTTTTTAAGATTTTTATTCATTTATTTGATAGAAAAGTAGCACAGGCAGGGGGAGAGGGAGAAGCAGTTACCCCACCCAGCTGGGAGCCCAGTGTGGGGCTAAATGCCAGGATCCTGGGATCATGACTTGAGCCGAAGGCAGATGCGTACGGACTGAGCCATCCAGCCATCCCTTAAATACTATTCTTAAGACTTCTCAGAATAATGAGGCTCCTGTCCTCTTGATTTCCCCCTTGATAGGATTCCTGTACCGTTTGGGGAAGGAACCCAGGCTTCTTGTATAATCATTAATCCCATTAGTATATTTGCTGTTTAAGTGACCTTTATGCAGCCAAGAGGAGGGACTCCTGCTTGTATGGTCCCATCCCCCAGCTGTCCTTAGGTAGGTTGCTTCTGGTTACACTGTTTCAGGTTCCTTGAGTTTCTGGAACTCTGGTAACTTTGATGCTTTGACTGCACATATTTTCTCTGACAGCAGGTATTTTCCTGTCACTGAGAATGTATGGTCCTGGAGGATGGGAAGTCGTCACTTTTTTTTATCTGTTAGTGCTCAACAACATGTTTCCTGGCTGACAGACGACTGCCTGAGGAGTGCTGCTGATGCTTCTGGGACTTGTGTTTATTCCCTCCAGGGGAGCCAGGAAGTGGGACGGAAAGTGATACTTCTCCAGACTTCCACAATCAGGAGAATGAGCCCAGCCAGGAGGACCCTGAGGATCTGGACGGATCTGTGCAGGGAGTGAAGCCTCAGAAGGCTGCTTCTTCTACTTCCTCAGGGAGTCATCACAGCAGCCATAAAAAACGAAAGAATAAAAACCGACACAGGTCAGTGGCAGGGACCTCCCCCACTCCGCTGCCTCTACTCCCCTGCCCAGAGCGGCCATGATCATTGCTGCGAAGGGGCTTTACTAGGGTAAAAACGCGTCAGGCTTGGTGCCGTCTTTCTGTTGCAGGTGGGGAGAAATTGCTTTGGTCCAAATGAGACAGGTGAAGTTTTCTCTAGTGGAGGAATGGGTGGGCATTAGAGTGACGGTAAAGGAAGACAGCCTTCTCACTGTTCTGGTGTAAAGAATTTCATTCCATATTGAATCTGAGGAGGAAAGGGGAAGTCTGTAGAATAGGACTTGGAATATGGCACTCGTACATGTTGGGAAGCTGCCAATTGGGAGAGAGTCTTTTGCTCCCAATCCTGGTCCCTGCTTACACTTAACTCCCTTGTGGGTGGACAGAGCTGATCTCTGACAGGCTTTTTTTTTCCTTTTTAAATACAAGTGTTTGATTGCTTAGGATTTCTTTGTTTTATACATCTCTGTAATTGCTGATTTCAGATATCAGAGAGGAATAATATAAAGTCTTTAAGATATGAGAATACCTTTCTAGATAATGTTTGTCCACTGTGTGTGTTTTGTTTTGTTTTTGTATTTTACAGTGCGTAATGAGATAGGAATGACATCAGTGGACAGAGAGGTCAGGTGTCACCCAGAGAGGATTTTAGCATTACACTCTGCCTGGGGTTTGTATGATAATGCCAGGGCCTATTAACTCATAATTGTACAGCTGTACTCAGGGAGGGGGATGCATAGCTTCTAGAGTGATCAGTCTTTCCCTGACCTCAAACTGTCTTCTGGCAGGCGTGAAAACCAGGTGTCCATAGGCTGGCTTTTGTCCTGCTCCTCTTGGGAGCTTACATACTGAGGTGAAAGGATACAAGCAAGGAGTGGCGGGGTTCCCTGTCCTCCAGTACCCTTTGGGTTGGGTTGCTCTACAGACCTGTAGGATATTCCTTCACACACCCAAGGCATTCACATTGTTAGCTTCGTGGTCATGGCACATGGCGGTAATACAGAATGAACTTGAACTGGTTTAAGCCTCCTAAGCATCAGCAGATTCTCTAGTTTTTTAAAGAATTTTTCTTGTCCGTGGTGGGGGTGGTTTTTAGACTGCAGAAATAGTATTTCCTCCAAAGAGTGACTCAAGATCACTGTTTAATACTTTCCTGCAAACCAAAAATCACTATGCCAATCTCATGACTGCAGTAAAGAAATAGCAAGATCTTAAGATTAGTAAGGTTATAGGCATTTGATCACTGCGGTAGGCCTAATGCTAGCTCATCACAAGCAGTAGCAGGGAGCTAGACTCTTAAAATATTTTTTTAAATTGTTAAGGTAATTTAAATGTCATGTTCTATGTTGTTTTTATTAAATTTACTCCAGTGCTATTTTAAAGTAACGATTCTTTTCCTATTTCACAGTGTCTAGAATAGGGGGACAATTCCTTGAAAGTTTCTGGGACATTTTTTCCATTAGTGATTCAGTAGGTAGCTACTGTTCATTGTAGGTGATACTTCCCCTTTTCTTAATGCCATGATCAGCTGACTGATAAAAGGGAATTAGACATGAACTTAACTTCCTCCTGTGGGTTTCTAGTAGATTTCCATAGGAACACTACTCCTTCCTACCCTTTTTTCCTCTGGCTCCTAGAGCTAACTCCTTCCAGAAAAATAGAAGGATTTATAAAGATTTGGGTATTATTTATTGCTTTCACAAATGGTGTTTTCTGTTTGGAAAGCCAGGATCCTTTAGTCATCCCCCTGGTGTAATACCTGGCTTGCCTTTTCCATTGGCCGTAGGCGCCTGTATGCTCCAAGGGAGCAGAGTCGAGCTGATTTGCCTTCTTTCTATATAAAAACGTTCAGTGCACCAGAGTGGCACCTCAGGGGCCAGTGAAGTTTCTCTGATTCCTACCATCTTCAGTCAGGAAGTGTCCAAACTCCTTGTCCCCGACTCCTGTCTTTGTGGAAGGGTGGAGAGTGGAGCACTTTGTTCACACATGTGTGTACATTTGCATTCAGTACCCTACTTGTTTCTCCTCCCAACTTGCCACGCCCCAGATACTCTCAGAAAGTCGATAGTGAATTATTTCAACAGATGTCTGAAAGTCTGCTGTGTGCCAGGCATTGTGTAGGGGTGAGTAAAGCAAAGTGGAAATGAATACGGTACCATAGCAAAAAGTAGTAACTTTTGGGTTTGTCCTCTTGAGGAATATGAACATATGTCAAATAATTTTTAGCATCCATAAATGATCACAGTGTTCTGAATTTGTATATTTTATATGTTATCTGAATAATAAGTCCCAGTGACTTTAAAGAAAAAAGTAGAAATAATAACTTATAGCTGCTCTTAGAGGTTTTTACTAATACACAGAACTCTAGAATTCTAGGTAGTTTGTGACATTTTCATTAAGTAGGTACAGTCTCACTTGTGAACAAATTTAGGTTAGGCTGAAAATTAAATTATTTTTAAAGTTTTATTTACTTGAAGTAATCCCCACACCCATCGTGGGGCTCGAACTCACGACCCCGAGATCAGGAGTCTCTTCTGGCTCTTTCAACTGAGCCAGCCAGGTGTCCTGAAAAGTTAAAATTTTTGATGGTTCCTGGTTTGCACGCTGCGTACTCTTCCACAAATGACTTAAGTGAGGCGGTTGCCTAAGAGATAGTGAAGTTACGCTTTCTTCCAGCTTCACTCTTGCAAACATGGGCCAGGAGGAAGATAGAGCATTTTGCATACGGTTTCAGCACCTGTCTACAGTGTGAAAGGTGTTGGAGCCAGCCAAAGAGCTGGAGTCATGCTCAGGGCTAATGTTTGCTTTGGAGGTCTGCCCAGACCATGGCCTGTTAGCAGTGATGCCCTAAACAGCCTCCTCCCCTGCACTGTTCCTTCCAGATCCCTGAAGCTCAGGTGCTTGTGGATGTCGGCTCTCCTTTGTCTTCCTGGGGGAGGCGGGGCCTGTAGATTTGGGTGTTCTTAATCCTAGCCCTGACATAAACAGTTACCTGCCATCACCAGTTCAGGGGCAAAGTGATGGGACCCTGCAGTCCTCTGGAACAAGACTGTCACAAAAGTTTATTCATTTGACCCTTGGCTTTCTAGGATGAATGCTCTAGAAAAAGAGTACCATGTTTCCTGGATATTCTTAGAACTTAGGACTTGGGTTAAAAGTTGCAGAATGTCTTCTTTTAAAAAATGTATAATGTTTTTATCTTTCATGTTAGTCAAAGTGTATTGTGCTGAATTGTTAGTACTATCTTTAAAGCGCCCTTTCATTATATGACTAAACCCTTCTTTCTCTATTTCTTCTAATGTGCTGTTTATATTTTTCACTACAATCACGTATTTTAAAAGTTCTAACTCTGAATCTGGCAGCTAATAGACGGCCTGCAGGTACCTCGTTTTCTAATGCAATAACTTTTCATTTCTTAGTCTGTTCTTCTGATACGAAATCCAGTGAGGGAAGGGACTCTCCCAACCACAGAATCTTTGGTGCTTTGATGTTTGAAACTTTATGGCTTAAGATTCTTAAAGCTGATTTTGTTTCTATGAATCTTGCTAGGGTGGCTAATCGACTAATTTATTCAATTAGTATATTAATTTCTATTGCTTTCTTCCTTTCAAATGCTGCCCCTCAGCCCGTCTGGCATGTTTGATTATGACTTTGAGTAAGTTTGATTTGAATTAGTATTTGTGCTGTGTTGTTTAGTGTGTAGAGACCAATATGCCTTTTTGAGACCTTTCTAACCCATAGTTTATCTGTTTAATTGTAGGTATGTATATTAGGTTAGGCTGGGAAGTTTTTTTTAAAAACAGAAAAACGTGATGGAGGTAACATTTTATTTAATAACTTAAGCATAAGCAAAATTAAGTAAACTTCACTTTTATGCATCTTAATTTCTTTAAAAATAGATAACCTTTAATTCACATTTAAATTGATTTTCTGGCTTTGCTTCATAAGGAGATTAATAGTTTAAGATCTTGATATTTTGCTTTGGAAAGATTTAAAAATTGAAATTTGTTTAATTTCTTTTGTGTTTCATGTCCAGAAATACAAACTCCTAGTCTCTTTCCTGTTCTTAATCATTATGTGTCTCAGTGATTATCAGTAATATAGTTACAAAGCTAACACATTAACATAGAGCATGCCCTCTTAGTCCAATCTCTTTAATGCATAGTTTTGAATAGTTTTTAAATTATATGGCTTTCATAACTGCTGTGTATTTCTTTTTGTCATCTAAGTTTGCCCTGTGGCGAAAAGTATCTGCTTACGTTTTTAAATACTTGCTTAATAATATCTGGATAAACAACTAAATATGACATAGTCTAATGAAGAATGTGGGTTTTACTTAACCAAATAGTCTTTGTTATAGCTTGTGCCCTATGCAGTAGCTGATTCCTGGCCCCTCTTTCTGTAAATTAAAATGCAAATGTTTTATCTTTTCTATCACAGGATTGATCTGAAGTTAAACAAAAAACCACGAGCTGTAAGTATCAGCCAGACCATTTCAGAGAGGCTGGTGATTTTGTAGATGATTAGAAAAATGTGTTCTCTTCAGAGCTGAGTGTTCTAATCTCAGGTTACAACTCTCCAGTTTAAAGGCTGGGGTATCCAATTGGATATACTTCAACTTTTAAGGGTTACTTAGGTTTTTTTGCCTTTTTTTTTTTTTTTTTTTGGTTGTTGTTTGGTTGGTTCTTGTTTTGTGTTTTTTGTTTTGTTTTGATTAGAGAGAGGGGTCACACATTTTTACTGAAGAAAAATTCCCTTTGATTAAAGAATGAATTGTTAATACTAGTTGTTTTTATTTTTGTTTTGTTTTGGATTGGTGAGCTCAGGGGGCCTAATAACGGCAGAATTAATGTTTCAGATGTGAAATATTGTCTATTTTATTTGGCCTAGAATCTTTGGCTATAGAACAATCCCCTAGCAGGGCCGTTGATGGATTATTTTCTTAGGTTCCAACTAGTGTTCTGAGAGTAAGTTGGGACTCTCTCTTTCTCTCTTCAGGACTATTAGAAGACTCATTAGTGCAGAAGCTGCAGAAGCTTCCAGGCTCTAGAGCCCTGCTTCCCTCCTCCAACCTCACAAAGATACGTATCCCTCACCTGAGTGCGCAGCCATCCACCTCTGCTTTCCCAGACCCAGTGCCTGTGACTCTGAATAGTTTGTTCTGAAACGTGGTGACAAGTCATTTCTGTAAGACCACATTGGATCATTTACTGTGTGTCATTTTTAGTAACAGAACTGCAAGAAGACCAAGACATGGTTATAATTCCAGCAAGTTGCTAACGCTGCATTTCTCCCTTCTTGGAATGAATGTGTCCCCGCAAACTGGCTGGCACCAGCTTCATCTGTGATACCCATCAAGAAATGTTCTCTGGTTTTGTTTTATGCTGAAGGTAGAATGTAGGTCACGTTTCAGAGGGAGGCTGTAAATATCGGGCATTTTCTTATTTTTGTGTTTTATTATTTTTCTATTGTTTTTACCATCTTCTTTTCTTTGGGGACTTTTTGTAATGCCGTTGTACAGCTCATACCTTCCTGCCAATATATCTGATCATCTGCTTTGTGCCGTTGCCAGTATTCTTAACTGAAAAGAATCTGGTTTACCATAAAGAAAATGGGGAACTTGGCTCTGTGTTTTTGCAGGGGGAAGGTAAAGAGGGTTTATTTAATAATTACCTATCTTAAATCTTTCTGCGTTGGAAGCAGTTTCATGTTCAAGGAACAGGAAAAGCTGAAAAATCTAAGTTTAAATCAATCCTTTTAAAATAGATATTTTTATTCTTTTATATAAATAAAATTTCACAGGTGTTGACTTCTCATGCTTTACTTTTAAACCTGAGATTGTTTTTTCACTTATTTTATTTATTCGTATCATGCCTTATGGAAATTTCTTCCTTTTTCCATTTTTCTTTCTTTGCTGGTATCTGCCTGATTAAACATTGCTCTAAAAATCACTAAGGTATATGGAAAGGCTCAGCATTACCCCCAGAGCTGGTAACGTTTGGAATTCTTGAGGAGAGTGAGAGATGGGATCTGCGAGAGCCAGCGATGCCCAGCAGACCCCTTACCTCACAGGGCTGCTCGGGCTGGGTAGCTTGCCGGTTTATTGAGATGTTATCTGCCTCTGGAGTGGGGCTTGACCTCGGCTGCTCACGGGAGTCACCTGGGAAGCTTAAGGACCTGCTGGTGCCTGGTTCCCACCCCCAGAGACTCCGACTGGGGTGCAGCCTAGTGGCTGGGATTTCCTTCCAAAGAGTCCCTGGGATTCTGATGAGAAGCCAGGTTTGAGAACCACTGCATGAGGAGTGTTTGATTGAAATCCCATGTTGCAAATCAGTCTAGGAGATAAGATTTGGGGCCCCATCTTTCCTTTGATGCTGTCTAGTCATAGTCCTTGACTTAGGCCCATATCTTTGTTAGAACAAGTATGTTCCATTGTGATAATGTTGGTAGAGCTGAATACAGATGGCATCTGTTAGGAGAATGAGTCTACCTTGTCAGATGTGCAAAAGCTTTTACTCTTCTTCTCAAATAAACTCTTTTTTTTTTTTTTTTTTGACTCTGTGGCTAATTAGAGGTCTTTGGTAGCAAGAACTCCAATGTTAAGGTTTTTAAGAAAATTGTTTCCTATATTCAGATTGATCCTTTAAAAAAGAAAAAAAAAGAACAATTATAAAGCTTAAAACCATGGGGACCAGAAGATTTCTATACCTTCCTTTGTCAGTTTCTCTCCTTTCCTTTGAGAGAAATGTGGGGCTTCCTGTGGTCTCCGTGGCCCAGAGGAGAGCGCACAGCAAACCTGAGAATATTTCTCTCATAGTTTTGACATTTGCTTGAGATCTGGTGGGATTGCTCTTAAAAAGTTATATAAAAACATGCCTGTGTATATGAATACACACGTATGTATATGATCATGGTTAGAGGTAGGCTGCTTGCTTTATACTTATTTTCTCTGTAAAGTTTTCAGTCATTGATTAGGGGACCTCCCAAGTTTTCCTGTAAGCTGGCCACAGACTAAAGATATTTAAGTCACGAGGGAGTGCTTATGTTCTCTAAATTGGAGACATTTGGGCAGAAACCCCAAGAGATGCCTACCATGCTTGTGATATTTGTCGCTTTGGTTATTAACTAAGTTTGTCTGAAAGACTCAGACCTGACCAGTGACCCTGCCAGAGTGGCTGCCAGGGACCCATGAGAGGGACTTCCTTCTAGGCAGGCCTTCACCGGATTATCAGGGTCTGGAATAGTATTTTGCTTTAGGCCCTTAGGCTTCTTATCTCCACAACGGGAAGAAGTTCCCCTTAGCTCCTGTTCGAGGTTATAAGACACTGAACAAAATCCAGACTCGTGGTATTTCTATTTCATGTCTTCTCCTGGGAGGATGGTGTCTGTACACAGCTCCCAAGGGAGTCTCAAGTATGCTTGCTTTTCCCGAGGCTGAGAAATCATTTATTTTGTTGAAACTCCGCATGTTCTAAATAGCGTCAGACCCTGCAGGCTGAAGATGGAGAGCAGGGACAACCCACAAAGGAGAGGACTGCTTATTCTGTGGGGCCAGCGGGAGGGCCTGAGGGAAGTGCCGGGAGTCGGACGGGGTCGGCAGGCCGAGGGCACGGGAGTTTAGTGCTACTGTCCGCGTCTTGGGGACCTCCGGAATGCTTTGAGAAATGGAGCCTTTGGGGGCTAGAGAGTACTCTGTAAGTATCCTACAAGGAGGACTGTTGATACTGCAACCTGTGTGGTGAATAAAGGAATGGAAACAAGTATTTAAATGGCCTAACTTTGAAAGGAGTAAATATGCTGTTTTGAAACACTCTGCGACCTAGTTTTTGCTTTTATTCTGACTTGTCTGCCCCTCATCCTTGCTCCCAACTCCTGAGGTCTGACTGCATGTAAAAATCCCCGTCTGAAGCCCGCTGCCAGGGCTGCTGCACCGGGGCCATGTGGAGTGTGAGCGCGAGCATGTGTGTTTGTACACGTGGACCTCTCTGGGCTGCTGTCCTGCTCGGGGCCTGGGAAGGTGACTAAGGAGAAGGCATTGGGATTCTCCCGTGTCCATGTAAATGTTACTGTGTCTGAATTTTCTCAGTGGTAATCTTCAGGATTAGAAACAGTTTTCACTTTGGAAAACTTCTGTAGAGTAAAATCACAGTAAAATTGTCACTGCCAAGATGGGCTGTGGTGTTGATTCCGACCCCCACCTCAGCGCAAGGCGGTGGTCCCCAAGGAGGAGGATATGGAGGATGGCCTATGGCTGGGAGGGGGACGGTTAGAAGGGTACATTTCAGGCCTTCGATTTGTGTTTATTTTCTGGCTCAGCCTTTTTTAGTTGTCACTTTGAATGTGGTATATAATAACGTGTAAAAATATTCTTTAGTACATGGAGATAATTGAGGAATAAACGTTAGGTCGAACCACAAGCAGTTGCTGCACTTAGCCATCCTGCTCTTTAGAACGGGCAGTTATCCTGATGTAACGCCACCTACGTGTTGGGGGTGCGTGTGCTCTAAGCGTTTACTGTCCGTGGACAAGAATAACCTTTGGAGGCCCCTGGCCAACAGAACCCTCCTCAGATCCCCATCCCCAAAACTTATTTCTGTACCCTAAGGAGGTGTTAAAAGATTTCATTTGAATAAATAATACATGCAAATGGCATATATTTAAATAGTACAGGAGTATGGTCAATGAAAAATAAAGTTCACCCGTGGGGTGCCTGGGTGGCTCAGCCTTCGGCTCAGGTCGTGGTCCCACGGTCCTGGGATCGAGTCCCGCATTGGGCACTCTGCTCCGCAGGGAGCTTGCTTCCTCCTCTCTCTCTGCCTGCCTCTCTGCCTACTTGTGATCTCTGTCTGTCAAATAAATAAAATCTTTTAAAAAAAAAAAAGGTCCACCCGTCCCTCAGCAACCATCTGTCCTTCCCAGAGGCGGTTCCTCGCGGACCCTTCTGGAGGAGCTTTGTACACGAATGAGCGATATGCACACAGCCATATGCCTAGTACCAAAATGGTAGCTAGTCATACAGCTTAGAAAGTGTTCTATGAATGCAGCTTGTGAACCTCATTTCTGTCGGCTCTTTGGTATTCCTTTATGTGTGTACACCACAGTTTATTTAACCGCTCCGCTGATGATGACATTAATGCTGTTTTTCATCTTTTGTCATTTTGGGCAGTGTCATAGTGCCTTATGTTTTGCAAATATGATTCTTAGTGGTGGGATTGCCGAGCCACCGTGTCAAAGGTTAAAAGAACAGATTTCCTTGTGACTTTATTGCCCAAATCGCTTTTTAAATGTGAATACATATGTTTTTTTCTCCTTTTCCATTCATTCTTATTCCTCCACTTCCTGAGGATTTTTCTTGGGCGATTTGTTACCCATAACATAACAGTTGGAATTTTCTGGAGCTTTCGACTTTGTAAAGGGCAGTCCATAGAGTGAGCGACTCTTGATCTCAGGGTCATGAGTTCAAGCTCCACACTGGGAACAGAGCTTACGTTTAAAAAAAAACAGCAAAGAAAAAAGAATTCCCATCTTTGCCTTAGCACTTTCTATATTATTCTCTTTAGAGTCTTGTTTTCGGCTCCTACTGGAGATGCTTGTCTCTGGGCACTTGGTTCAGACCCGTTGCTCAGCGACCTCCTTCCGCACAGACAGTCATACCAGGAGGCGCCAGCAGGTGGCAGGCAGAGCCCCAAAAGCACCCCTGGCCTATAGTGGGGCTCTAATCTGGAGAGCCGCCAGAATCAGAGCTATTGGATCCTTCCTTCCCTTCTACCGAGTTTGCAGCCATTTCTTAAATGGGTGAGCAATTTAAGATGGCCAGTACCTGCCTTGAGATGTCCTTCAAAAGGCCATATCCCAGGATGACAGCCTGAGGCCACCTCCCCATCCAGGAACTAGCTGGAAGGATTTACATACCATGGCCTGGGATGGCCTGTGTTCCCTTAATTGTAGGGCTCTACTTCCTGTCTCTTTTCAGCCAAATCTCCCACACCCTTCCCATGAACGAGGAGGTCCTCAGAACAGGCTCTTACTCACTACCCTCTACTCCACCCACTCTGCTATGGTCTAGGGGAAAAAAATCAGCCAGAGGTTTGAGAAGCCCTGGAGCAGAAGTGCTAGGATCCCAGGACTGCCTTATTGGGGGCAGGAGCCTCTGGGGACCAGCGAGGCCCAGGGTGTGAGGTGCCGGCTCCACCTGCCTCGACTCCTGGATTTGTGTCCCACTGAATCCCAGTTTCCCTGATGGAGACCTGCCCAGCCTCACCTTGAGGGCAGGGGTCTTGCCCTTCTATGTAGGGGAGGAAGTGGCTGCGCAGGGGGCTGTGTCAGTGGTGGTCTCTTCCCAGTCACTACCCCACACCAGCCGCCCTGCGGGAGACCAGGGATGTGTGAAGTGCTGGCAGCACTGGGGGTATGGGGCCTGGGAGGGCTGCTTCCCCAGCCTGAGTGCCCTCGGGCTCCTTGCTGAAATGCCCCAGACGTTTAGGGACCGCTGGGTTTTCTTCAGGCTAGTGGAGTCGGATGGGGACAGAGTGGGTGGGGACATCCGAGGAAGGGAGCTTCATCTATTTGGGGCCAGTTTGTTCTTTGCCAGGGAGGCCGAGGTTTCCGGATCCCCCCTACGCCCCCCGCAGGGTTAACCCACCTTTGAAACTGAACTCTGGAAAGCAGACTCAGAGTCCGGCCCCTGCTGCTGAGAGCCCCAGGGTGAGGCGGGGGACCTGTGGAGGTGGGGAGGGGCTGGCAGCCAGCCATCCTCTGGGAGCTCCCCGGGATCATTTCCCAACAATGCGGGAATTTGCATACTCACTGGTTTCCCCATCAGCTTCTCTGCTCCTGGAACCAGGAAGGCAGAGGAGGAAAGGGCAGGCAGGGCGACAGCCATCTGAGTCCCAACCCCTTAGCTCCTCGGCAGCTGGAAGCTGGGTCTTGGGGTGGCTTCCAACCCTGCCAC